GGTTGCCAAGAACCTCCCTGGAAAGGACATCAGATTGGGCACGTGGAGCCCATATTCTCCAGGCAGGCAGCCCTCAGGAGTCACAGTGAGGTGGGCATCCTGTGACCAAGATGCACAGCCCTGCTCCGCAGATCAGGGTGAGGTGAGGGTCCCATTCATCAGAGCTCCACCCTCATGACCTAATCACCCCAAGACCTCACCTCCAAACACCATCACATTGGGGGTTAGGTTTTCAACATGCGAATGGGGCGGGGGCACAAACCTTCAGTCTGTAGCAGGATCCCAAACTCTGGTTTCTTGATAAAGTTGCGTTTAAAAAAAAAAAAATCTCAAGCAGGGCAGGTGTTTTCGGGGAGAATGTGGAGGTCCCCACTTTATTCTTCCCAGCCTTCTCCCTGCCTTCTCAGAGGTTCCTGCCAGCAATTTGGTGAGGATCCTTCGAGACCCTTCTTTTAGTGGAATCTAGCTGTGCTCTCCGTGCTGACCTGTGCTTTGCCTTCAGTCTGATCCCTTGCAGATCTTTGCACGTCCTGGTGCCTCCCCGCTTAGCAGGGTTGGTTCATTTAAGTAATTTAGAATGTTTTCATTTTTCCGATGTAAATGATGGTCATTGCACACACGTGTACGATACACACATTTGAAAGCGGAAAGGACAAAACAAAAGGAAACCCCAGAAGTCCACTTGGCTGGCTCTGTGGCCCATGAGGAACGGAAGGCACCTGCTCACCTCCTTCAGCTGTCACCGAGACAGCCGCTCACCGGCAGCCTCATGGCTTTGATTTTCCTCATCTGTAGAAGATGATGAACACGTGTCCTTCCGCACCTGCTGTGTACGAAGGAAAATGGGGCCATGTGTGAGAATGCCGGGAGGCCTCCCAGCAGGACGCTCTTGGTCTTTGTCAGCCAGGTCACCTGGACACCTTTAAGTAGGGCAGAGTATGAATCCCTGGCACAGAGAAGAGGCGAACTGTTTGAGCTCCTGTGCCCCTTGACCAGTGACAGGAAGGAGGAGACAGGAGCATGAGTTTATTTTAGCCATCATGTTCGAGGACAGCCCCGCTGAGGCTCTGAGGCTGCATGTACCTGGAGCATGTTCGTGTCACGTAGCTGGGGCTCTATGCTGAAATCGTGGCCTCTGGCAGGCCCTCGGAGTGTGGCCATAGAAGGATTTTCTGATCGGAAGGCCTTTGTATGTGGGGATAGCTACCCTTCGTGACCGGAGATGACACCACTGACCATTTGCTGCCGTCGCTGTGCTGTGGGAGGGGAGGCGTCGGGCGTGGTGCTGAGACACAGTGCGCTGGGAGTCGTCCGGTTTGAGCCGGGCCCCACCACCAGCTTGGTGATCCCAGAGTGCAGTTTCCTGCTTGGAAAGTGGGGGCAGGATCTGTTCCCTGGGAAAACCAGGCTAGGGTGCTGCCTCGGGGATGTGGAGGAAGAGCTGGTGGAGTGGTAGTGGCGTCTGTTCTCTTTTCACCCTCATGTCTTCCTTCTGTTCCTCTCCTCAATTACCTTTTCTTCTTTCTCTTCCTGCCTCTTCATAGCTCCGTCTACACCTCTAGGTCCTAAAGTGTGCACGCACACAGATGTATAATATATACGTAACACACACACACCGTGTACACATACGGTTGTGCACACACAAGCACAACGTACATACTATCCATCTGTATACACATGTATGTACACATCTGCATCCATGCACAATACAGCATCCGCACGCACACACTTATACACATGCACACACACCTGGGAGCTGCTACCAGTGCCCTCTGGTGCACACATTCCTCCTTTAAACGTTCCTTTTAAAAAAAATGTGAGCATTTTAAAAAACAGGAAAGTACGGAGAGTAACAGTGAATGCCCTCATTTAGAATTCATGGTTAGCATTTTTCATATCGTTGTCTCTTTCACACTTCTGCCCCATGTTGGACCTGGGCGCTTACTCCCCACGTCTGGTTCATTCTTTTCCACGTGTAGGTGTTCCCCATCTGAGCTGCAAGGCTTCTCTGTGATGTGTTTCACACTCCTCTGTGTGAGTCGTGTTCGCTTTGCGACTGCGCCGTGCTGACAGGTGGAGACTTGGCTCACTCCTTTTAACTACTGTGGTCCCATCTTGTCACTGCCGTAGTGACTTGTCTTGTTGCCGTTTGTCCGTTTCCTTGTTGAGGAACATGGAAGGTGGTTTCAACTTTGTATGCTGAAAGTCTTATTCATGACCATATTGTATGTTTCTACAACCAAAATATGTACATGAATTGAAATGAGAATTTTAAAAGTGAGAATTTTTCTTCTGGTCTGTGTGGGCATTATAAGTAAATTGATCCAAACAACATAAACATTTCAGTTTTTATAAATAACAAATACTAAGAAGCATTGCGCATGTATCTCTTAACTGGATGGGTTGCTTTTTTTCTCCCAGTTAATTCATGTACTCACAGTTGAATAAAACCTATTAATAGAGGCAAGTCAGCGTCAGTTCTTGTTCTGTTTTTCACTTTTAAGTCAAGAAACCTTGTTCACATAAATCAATAGATAGGAATTAACAGAGGTTTGATATAGCAGTAGCAGCTAATTTTAAGTTATTTGCAAAACAAAGTAAGGATCACATAAAGATCTAATACAAAACAAAATCGTTGATGATCTACCAGCTGACAATTTGATCAAGCAAGTTCTTCTGGTTCCTAATAACAGCTTTATTGTGATATATTCACATACTATGAAGTTCACCCTTTTAAAATGTACAGGTCAGTGGTTTTTCCAGAATGTGGTTCCAGTTTTGTGGTATTACAACCACTGCTGTAACACACGTCACCAATCTTTTTAAAATAATTTTTTTGTTTTAATACAGATTAATTATAGAAAGTCTATAAAATACAGTTAAAGCCCCCACCCCCCGCCAAAAAGGAATATTCATCCATTGTCTCTCAATCCAGAGGTTTTAGTCTGTAGCATTTATACTGTGAAGTTATTGAGGCCTAAAACCTGCAGTAAGGTGTGGGGGCCTCCTGTGTATGGTACGTCAAGTTGTAGAAAGTGCTCTGGAGAAGAATAAAACAGAGGAGAATGGAGGAGGTTAGCAAGGAGGGCGGAGGGGTTGTTAATGTAAAAAAGAAAGGATCAGAAAAGGCCTTGCTGAGAAGGGAACGTGAGGCGAAGGATCAAGGCAGAGCTCTTGGGGAGGAGCTTCCTAAGCAGCGGAAACAGCAGTGCCAAGGCCCTGGGGTGTGAATGGGGTGGGCAGCGTCTGCATGGTGGAGGGCCTGGCAGGCCATGGGGAGGAGTTTGAGACTTACTCTAGTGTGATTAGGAGGTCATCAGAAGTTTGTGAGTAGCGGGATGTGGGAAGCAGACTTTGGGGCTAAGTGAGAGAGGGGCGACTGGCGGAGTGGATTACAGTAATCCAGGCAGGAGTTGCTGATGGCTTTGACCAGAGTGGTGGCCACGGAAGCATGTTAGAATCAGGAACCCAAGAGGATAAAGAGGAGGGAAGCCCATTGTGTTATCTCTTGCTAAGTAACAAATTAAAAATTTAACTGTTTATAACAATAAATGCTTGTTATTTCAGTTCCTGTGGGTCAGGAATTTGGGAGTGGCTTAGCTGGTGGCTGTGGCTCAGGGTCTCCCATGAGGTTGCAGTCAAGCTGTTGGCTGGGCTGCGAGATCTGCTTCCCAGGTGGCTCCCTCACAGGGCTGGCAAGTTGGTGCCAGCTGGTGTCTGGAGGCCTCGGTTCCTTGCTGTGTGGACCTCTCCATAGAGCTGATTGAGTGTCCTCAGAACACAGAGGCTGGCCTCCGCCTGAGCCTGTAAGTCCTGCTCCATCCTTTCCACAGTGTCCTGCTGGTTACACAGGTCAGCCCTGTCCACTGTAGAAAAAGTCTGTCCAGAGACGTGAATGCGAGGAGGTCATCCCATGCGGGCCTTCTTGGAGGAGGGTTACCTCACCCGTTTTCTGCCTGCAGAGAGGGAATTGTGGGAACTTGTGGGACATGATGTGGTTGGGCCTTGCAGGTCTCCAGGAGGAGGTTGGAGCAGGAGGTTCAGAGCCAGGGACCTGTCTCTCACTTCGAAGGCCTTGCAGGGACGGCCTGGCTCCTGTGCCTGATTCAGCCTTTTCCCAATCCTTCCTTCCAGACCAGTTCCAGCCTCAGTCCTCAAAGGAGAAGTCAGATATGAATGAAATGATAATTCAAATCCAACAGTTTTAAACTATGGTCACTGCTAAGGCAAAAAAGTACTCGGGTCTCGAATTTGGGGTCGGGGGAGCTGACTTAGTCTGGGGTCAGGAAACATGTATAGTCTGCTAGGGCTGTCATAACAAAGTGCCACAAACTGGGTGGCTTAAAACAACAGAATTTATTCTCCCAGTTTTGGAAGTCCAAAATCAGTGTATCGACAGGGTTGATTCGTTCTGGGGGCTTCAGGGGAGGCTTCTTCCTTGATTCTTCCAGATTCTGGTGGCTCCAGGTATTCCTTGGCTTGTAGCCACGTCACTACAGTGTCTGCCTCCATTGTCACACTTCCTCCTTCCCTCTGTATGTGTCTCTATGTCCAAATCTCCCAGGTTCTTTTATGAAGACTGGGCACTGGATTTAGGGCCCACCCCAATCTAGTCTCACCTCTTGATTCTATCTGCAAAGACCCTGTTTCTAAATAAGGTCACGTGCACAGATACAGGAGGTTAGGACTGGAACATGTCCTCGTGGGGGACACAACTCACCCTGCTACAGAAGGAAATGGTGTTAGAGTTAAGATTGGATGAGTTCCTGAGCAGCGGGGAGAAGTCCAAGAGAGGGAAGGGTGTTGGGGTGGGCGCAGAGGTGGAACCGGCATGGTGGAAGGGCTGAGGCCTGTTTCTGGAACGAGAGTGGAAGCCATGGCCTGTGCTGGTTTCTCTCAGAGTAGAGCCTTTCCCAGGGCTGAGCCTCTCTGGCCATTAGATGCTCCCACGGGATTGTATCAACTCTTAATCTACAATTGTTGTTGTTTTTTTAAACCAGGAAACTACTTTGCTTCGCACTTTTTCATGGGAGGTGAGAAATTTGACACCCCCCACCCTGAAGGTTACCTCTTTGGAGAGAACATGGATCTGAACTTCCTGGGCAATCGCCCAGTCCAGGTCGGTCTCAACAGAGCTGGGCACGTGAGTGGACCCTGCCCTCAGTGTCCCAGGTGCAAGGATGAATGGGCACTGAGTCACCCCAAACAGGGCAGATCCGCAAGCTGGGTGTGTGCACATGACATGTGCTTGAGGCATGTCCTGGTGATACCCCCTTAGAGGCTGGGTGACCCAGGGTGGGTCACTGGGGGACAGAGCAGCTGCTACTGAACCTGGTGCATCCAGGCTTTGGGGTTATAGAAGATTATGGTTTTGATCTCAGGCCTCTTGGACAACTTTCTTTAAAAAGAAAAAAGAACATATATGGTCCATGGAATAGTGGGTAAAAGATGTGATCCACAGGAGAAACGCAAACAGCTGGTGAACAGTTTTTACAGGTTCACCTTCACCAGTCACCAGAGAAGCCCATGTTTGTGCACTGCTGTCCATTCATTCATTCAATGCACATTTGGAACTGTCTGTGTGCCCAGGACCCTTCCAGGGGCCTAGGGCAGAGGACAGATCCTGCCCTGTTCCTTAGGGTGGTACAGACAGTAAAGAAGAGAACATTTGACAGATAGGGACTGAAAAGAGAGGAATGAGAGAGGGCTCTTGAGGGGGAACTCCGAGTCCAGTATTGGATCCCCAGTGTGGATGAGGGGCCAGGCGGGAGGCCGTCTCCCTCAAGAGACACTGGATTCCGTCCCCTAAGGCTGCTGAGTCAGGGGGCTGGCTTAGGGTGAGGGGTCCTCTGGACCAGGGGTCTCCATGACTGTTTTAGACATGACGCAGCTGGTTGACATAAAATCTTGATCTTTTAATGGGTGGGAGGTGAGAGGCTGGGGCTGAGAGTGTTGCGGGGCCAGGCGGGAGGCCGTCTCCCTCAAGAGACACTGGATTCCGTCCCCTAAGGCTGCTGAGTCAGGGGGCTGGCTTGGGGTGAGGGGTCCTCTGGACCAGGGGTCTCCATGACTGTTTTAGACATGACGCAGCTGGTTGACATAAAATCTTGATCTTTTAATGGGCGGGAGGTGAGAGGCTGGGGCTGAGAGTGTCCCCCACCTGAGGGACCAGTGGGGCCTCCGACACCCTCCCAAGTCTATGAGGGTGAGGCTAGACCCTCGCCTTCCACATGTTCAGAGCATCGTCTTAGACCCAGGGCCTGGCTCGTACAGGCTTCTCGTTAATCTGTTGGTTTTTTTCAACTTTTACTTGGACAGCACTGTAGATTCACCTGCAATTGTAGGACATAACGCAGAGAGACCCCCATATGTCATTCACCTGGTTTTCCCCAGGGATGGCGTCTTGTAAAACTCCAGAGCCCTATCACAAGCGGGAAACTGACATTGACCATCCACATGTTCCAGATGCTGCCACTTTTACAGCACTCCTGTGTGCACGTGTCCCTTCCGGAATCTTTACTGTCCATCATCCTTGTATGGGAAGCCCGCCTTGTCCAGAGCAGCAGATGTTGGGTCCCACTCCAGAAATGAGCCCAACCCTAATCGCTGCCCCCCAGACCCCTCAGGCTAGGTTGTGTTTCCCGAGAGCCCTTCCTGGAATTGGGGGACCATGACCGCATGACCGGAATCTTTCAGAATGGTCTGGTCCCATCTCTCCCACGTGCTGATCATGTTGTCCACAGTTTCCTTTGATGTGAATGAAAATAATATCATCCAGTGGTCAGCATGAGGGCCCTGGAGCACCAGGAGGGGATGTGACCAGTGCTCTGATTATCCCTGTTTTCTGTACCCTGCCACACCAGGGAGTCACCTGGGTTTTTGGGTTTTTCCTTCCTAGTTTCCCTACGTCACCCCTGCCCCCCATGAGCCGGTGAAGACGCTGAGGAGCCTGGTGAATATCCGAAAGGACTCACTCCGGCTCGTGAGGTAATCTTGACTCCTCCTTGCTCTTTAAACTTGGGGTTCTCAAGGTGACTGTACCCCAGGGATGTTGTGTCTGGAGATATTTTTAGTTGTCACAACTGGAGGGGTTGGTGCTCCTGGCATCTGGCAGGCAGGGACCAGGGAGGCTGTTAAACACCCCACAGTGCACAGGATGCCTCTACAGCCAAGAATGACCCAGTCCAGACTGTCAGGGCTGAGGAACTGCTTTAACCCTGGAAGACCCGATGCGTCTGGGGCCATCTCTAAACCGAGAGAACTTATCTCCCTTTCTATGAGCAGGAGGCAAGGGAAGGAGAACCCTGCATTATTGGGCCTTGTTGTCCAACAGGGACTGGGTCTCCATGTTTCTAGAAAGGTGGGACGCAGCCAGGCAGCTGACTCAGGGACCCCTCTGGGGACAGTGCGTGCTCAGCAGGGGAGGCACGCTCCTGCAGGCTTGACCTATGACCTGCTACCTGTCCCTCTGCCTTCCTGGCAGGTACAAAGATGGTGCCGACAGCCCCACCGAGGACAGCGAGAAGCCCCGCGTCCTCTACAGCCTGGAGTTCACCTTTGATGCTGATGCCCGGGTGGCCATCACCATCTACTGCCAGGCGGCGGAGGAGTTTCTGAACGGGATGGCTGTGTGAGTCTGGGGTGCTAGGTACACTGAGGAGGTGGGTCAGGGCCCCAGCAGCTCTGCTTCTGTCTGAATTATATATTTGAACTTTCAGAGGTTTTATTTGAAATAGGGTCTTATGGGCCCCCATACTTTGAAATCTACAACTTCACCATGACCTTGTCATGCCTGCCTCCAGTCCGTGGGGCCGTACCTGGACGGGACAGGCAGAAATGCACTGGCTTCCATCTTGTGGGAGAAAACTGCTCGGAGGCCGGATTTAATCTGGGGATAGAGCGGTGGTTGGGAGCTTAGGCTTTGAGTCTGCTCACAGGCCACACCCCCAACCCCAGTGCCAGTTTCTCAGGCCAGGTGTGTCAAAGCCCTCGAGAGTGTCCTTTGACCTAGAGACTGAGAGAGGGGCCCCAAGGACAGCAGGTGTGGGATGGGGCAGAGTGGGATGAGTGACGGATGTGTGTTGGATTCCTGAATGGGAAGATGCTAGAGTTTATCAGAATTGAAAATGTGTATACTCTTTGACCTGCCATTCCTTTTCTGGGAATTTATGTTGGAGATATGCTTGCATGCATGGCTAAGATGTGTGCAGAAGAGGGTCCTGGAAGCATTGTTTGGAAAAGCAAGGTGCTAGAGACCACCCAGTGTCTACCAGTGGGGGCCCGATTGAATCAGAGTACAGCTTCAGTGGAGCCAATACAGTGTTCAGAGAACATGACACCCATGTATATGGTGGTTACGGGACACCTTCGGGGTGCATGAGGAATGGTGGAGCGGAGTGTAGGTGGGCTGCTAGTTGAATATTAAAGAATAGACACCTACACATACAGATGTGACTATGCTTTAATTCTTTCGGGAGTGATACCTGGGTTGTGGATGGGCAGAGAAGCAGGTGGCTGGGAGCAAAGATAGAGTGCGGGTTCAGGGCTGGGGGAGAGGGCACTTTGCACTGTGTACATTTTTGTACCATGTTTTTTCAAAAAGTCAACAAACTGTAAAAACCAATGGAAAGGCATAGCCATATCTGGAAAGGTAGCCAAGTTAACCAGCAGGCGTGCCTGCTGGCCTCTGCCTCAGGTCGTGTGGCAGTGGGGATCACCCTGAGAAAGGGATGTGGCAGAGCGTTTGCTCCTGGCAGAGTCTCACCATCCTTTCTCGGCTGCCTCTTCAGGTACAGTCCCAAGAGTCCCGCCCTGCAGTCCGAGACGGTCCACTATAAGAGGGGGGTGAGCCAGCAGTTCTCCCTGCCCTCCTTCAAGATCGACTTCTCAGAGTGGAAGGATGATGAGGTAACCTCCTGCGCCTTTCCTGAGTTCCTTCCCCTTTGTGGGGGACAAGAATAAGAGGCTCGTTTGCTCAGATTCCTCACATGGTCAATAAGCATCGGAAGTGGCTACCAACCAAGACCTTTGCTCAGTCAGGCATGCACTGGACTGTGGGGTGTTGCTCGGTCCAGGTGTTGGCTGGACTGAATGATGGAGGTGGGATGGAACAGCAGCAGTTAGAGGCTCTGGGCACCATGCTTTGCGGGGCCGTGAGACTGCAGTGTGGCAGGATGCCTTTCACCTAGCAGTTCCACAGCTAAGGACGTTAATTTACAGGACCCAAAGGGTGTTCATTGCAGCTCTGTCTGTAATAGTGACAATTGGAAACAACCTACATGCCCACCATGAGGGGATTACTTAGTTCACTAATGTTACAGGAACCACCCATATATATAACATGGGCACTCTAGTTCATGTCCATTATGGATGCTGGGCAGACTTAAAGCAGATGAAAGAGATCTGTGAATACTGTACATGCTGATGTGGAAAGCCCCTCTGGATTCAGAGAAGAGTAAGTTGCAAACAAATATAGTATAATCTCGTGTATGTAGCAACCACAAAAATGCACAAAACCATTTCTGCAGGTACATGGATGTGTATATAAGTCTTGAGGAAAACTCGGAAAAGATGCCCATCAAGCCGAAGACAGTGGTTGTTTCTGCAGAGGGTCTTGGATAAGGAAGAAGGTTATATAATACACACTATACGTGTATAGTTGGCCCTCTACAGCTGCAGGTTCTTTGGTGGTGGGGGGGAACATATCCTATTCGATTAGGCCTATGCTGGGATGGTTGCTTCTGTGCTGAATATGTACAGACTTTACTTTCTGGTCGTTATTACCTAAATAATACAGGACGACAACTATTTCCATAGCATTTATATTGTATTAGTCATTGTAAGTAATCTAGAGACTGTTAAAAGCAAATAAAAAAAAATGAGAAGATGTGTGTAGGTTATATACAGATTCTACACCCTTTTATATAAGAGACACGAGCATCCCAGGATTTTGGTATCTGGGGTGGTTCTGGAATCAGTCCCTTGCAGATGCCAAAGGATAGACCATACAGCGTGAGTGTTGACACTATATACCGTTCTGAATTATTTAATTTTTTTTTACTGGTTTATTAAGGTATAATTTATGTACTATAAAATTCACCCATTTTAAGTGTTAAATTCAGTGGTTTTTAGGAAATCTATGATCCCAACCATCACTACAGTCCAGTTTTAGAATGTTTTCATCCTCCCGATAGGTTCCCTCACGCCCATCTACAGTTAACCCCTGTTTCTCCCCCTGTCCCAGCCTCTGGCAACCACTAACATGCTTTCCTCACGCCCATCTACAGTTAACCCCTGTTTCTCCCCCCCGTCCCAGCCTCTGGCAACCACTAACCTGCTTTCTGTCTCTGTGGATTTGCCTATTCTGGACATTTCACATAAATGGGATCATATAATATGTGGTCTTTGGTGTCTGGCTTCTTTCACTTAGCTGAATTCTCTAGAAGGTAGTCGTGTCTTATGTTACTAAAATACAGAAGGGGAAAGAAACGGAGGCAGCAGGGCTTGCTGTAGTTTAGGAAGTGGCTAGGAATGTTCTAGATCATGGGGTACATCAGCCGATGAAGGCCCTGCTGTTTGTTCCTGGCCATGTGTGCTTGCTAGTCAGGGTGCTTTGACTGCAAGCAACAGAAGTCACCTCTGCATCACTTGTGTGAGAAGGACAGGTCTTCTGAAGGAAGGACGGGGTGGTTGAAGTCAGAGGAAAAGCTGAACAGCAGATCCCTGGGGGCCCCCCTGCACAAAACCATGCCATCTGCTGCTTCCATTCCTGTGGGTGCACACTCCCAGCAGGTGCATCTGGTCCTGCCCACCCTCCCGTGAATGGCGGAAGAGCAGCTTCCCACAGGTAAAGGAGTTGGGATTGCAGAAAGGAGCTGGGCAGACAAGTGGTGCTTCTGCCCTGGAGTGGCTTATGTGGTACCTGGGCCGGGGCTACACCTCAGTTTGGTGACTTCTGTCCCTTGGCATTTTGGCCAAGCAAAATGGGTTCTAGACTCCCCGTGAGGTCACTTCTCCTGGGGCACACCTGGGTCATAAACCAGTCTCGAGTACCATGTAAAGGCATCCCCTTTTTCTCCCTCGGGGTATCAGGGATCCTGCATCCCCAACTTGTCAGCGTGTGGTGAGGTGGGTGTGGTGGTGGGGGCACGATGGGTGGCAACTCTGGGCTTGTCCAGTGTTGAGTTATATCTCAGGACCCTGTCCTTGTCTTTGCCTTCTCTGATTATCACACATTATAATGTGTTCTTCTCAAAATCAACTCAGTTTTTCTTACATGTATTTTTTACTGTGATAGAATACTCATAAAATTTATTATTAGTGACAATTAGTACATTCACAATGTTGTGCACCGTATGCAGTTTTAGAACATCTTCGTCACCCTAAAAGGAGATCCTGTACCCTTTAAGCAGTCACTCCATCCCACCTACCCCGTTACATGTATTTTTAAATAGAAACTTTATTAGCCATTGCAGTAGCTGGGAAACTACTAAGCTTGCCATAAATAGAAAGTTTCAGAGGTTAAGCTTTATGGAGAACAAAACAGTGTTATTACATCCTAGCATGATGTCATTGCCTCCTGAAGGGGATGTTGGCAGATGTTAGAGATGTGACACTCTGGCATCAAACTCAGATTTCTCCTTTACACCAGGCTTTCTCAGCCGATGCTGTTGACATTTGGGGCCTGGGTCATTCTCCGTGATGGGGACTGTCCTGTGCACTGTAGGATGTTGAGCAGCATCTCCGGTGGCAGGAATACCCCTCTCTGCAGTTGTGACAATCAAAGATGTCTCCAGACATGGCCAAGGTGTCCTCTTGGCTTTAGGCATCATGCCATTAGAGGCTTGGCCATCCACCTTTTTTTAGTCATTTCCTGCAGGTTTGCCTATTTAAAGATTAAAACAATAATGTATATATATTGTAAAATTTGCAAATTACACAATTTATAAAGCAAAACACTCCCTAATGAGTCTCTTCCTTCAGAGGTGACCACTTCTGACCATTTGGGGCGTGTATTCCAGACATTTTTCCTGTGTGCATTTGCT